ACACACACACACGTAGTATTAAAGCTCCCACCTGAAATCTGGTACTGGCTCAAAAGTCTACAAGATTCTTATCTCCAGTTAACCACCCCCAAAATATCCAGGAGCGGAGATTCAGCTCAAGTGGTAGAGCACCAGCCTTGAGTGAGAAACCTAAGAAGAATGGTGAGCTTAAGCCCTAGTAGTGACACAAAAACAAACCAGAAAAGCATATTGTATTAGGTACATTCCTGACATGGTCACTCTTGAGCATTTTTGCTTTTAGGCTTAAATTAGTTCACTTGCTGGATTTGTGTTTATTGAGTGAGTTGATTTATTTAAAATACAAGAATATCAGCTACAACCATCAGTTTTAAGAATTTCTGATATTGAACATGGCTTTGTGGAAATTAACTGAAAATTCAAATTAATTTAGCAAATGTGAAAAATTCTAAACATCGGGCTGGGAAGGTGGCTCAGTGGTAGAGCGCTTGCCTTGCATGCCTGAGGCCCTGGGTTCGATTCCTCAGCACCACATAAGCAAAAAGAAAAAAGCCGGAAGTGGCGCTGTGGCTCAAGTGGTAGAGTGCTAGCCTTGAGCTGAAGAGCTGAGGGACAGCGCCCAGGCCCAGAGTTCAGGCCCCACGACCAGCCCCCCCCAAAAAAAAAAATTCTAAACATGAGATTAAATGTCTTAATCCCAGAATGCAATTCTAAATGGTCAAGTGAGTTGCTGATGCATAGCCATTTCAAATCATATCTTAAAATTTTCAGGTAATCTTTTCATCAGGGAAAAACCTTGGCCCATCAGTTTAACAATTCCAGAAACTCTGGTGCTTGTCCAAACTGCTTATTCTACTGTTACCATTTCTTCTTGCACAGAAATACAAACTATACTGCCTGAATTCTTTGCAAAGCTGACTTGGACTTCAGAAGAAAGCAGCTGGTTTCAGAACAAATCAGGGGTAACACCTTTCCAGATAATTTTTGAGGCAAGTTTTGTTGTGGATTTATAAATTACTGATACTTTAGTTCTTGTTTTTATGTAAATCTAATGATAGGAAATCAAAGCCTAGATCTAGATCTACAACAGTTCCAAGTTAAAGTAATATAAAGGGCCTTATACAGATGACAGAGAAGCTTCTAAAATGCTGATGTCTGTGTCCTATTCCAAGAGATGTCATATAATAGATTCAAGAGTTGTATTAGTCAGCTGGGGAAGCTGTACAATATACCACAGACCAGATAATTTAGACAACAGAGATTTATTTTCTTTTAGTACTGTAGGCTAAGAAGTCAATGATTAAGATTCTGTCAGGGCCAGGCATGATGGCTTTAGCCTGTAGTCCCATCATTTGGGATGCTAAGGTAGGTGTATCCTTCAAGCCCAGGCATGTAAAACCAACTTGGGCAACATAAGGAGACCCTGTCTCAAAAATTATAAAAAGGGGGCTGGGAAGGTGGCTCAGTGGTAGAGTGCTTGCCTTGCATGCATAAGGCCCTGGGTTTGATTCCTCAGCACCACATAAGCAAAAAGAAAAAAAGCTGGAAGTGGCACTGTGGCTCAAGTGGTAGAGCGCTAGCCTTGAGCTGAAGAGCTGAGGGACAGCACCCAGGCTCAGAGTTCAGGCCCTACGACCAAACCCCCCCCCAATAAAACCCCAGAAACAAACAAAAAATTATAAAAAAGGGTGCTATCAGACATGCTTTCTGTTCCTGGCTTTCAGACAGCTATCTTGTCATGGTATCCTGACATGCCTTGTCTCAGTGGATATATAAAGAGAGATCTCTATGTGAAGAAACACTCTGATACCTTAATTAATTCCAAATCACCCATGTGATTAATTTCTAAACACATGGGTATTTAGGGTTTCCATACATGGATTTTGAGGGACATAGTTCAATCAGTAGCTTTGGAGTATTTAAAAGTCTTTATTCTTTATGTGCAGCTGAGAACCACTAAAGTAAATCACTTGACACAATAAAAGTTGATTATTTTTCAGCATAGATCCTATTTGGGTGGATTTTTGATTTCCTGATTGTTTTATTTTTTTTGTAGTCTAGGTTTACAAGATTGGCAGTGAGTTCTCCATTCTCTTTAGCTACTTTATGGTCCCCTGTCTTTCCTTCCTTGGTATTAGTGGGGATGTAAACAATTGGAATGTTTAAAAGAAAAAAACTGAATTGAAATGAGTTAACCACTGTCCCAGAAAGCACTTGGGTATACTTTATCCATGCTCCTTCTGAAAGAAATGGTTAAAATAATCAGAACAACAAGTAGCCCCTGGCTGTGCCTTATCTTCTTTAGGAGAATGGGAGGTAAACAGTCTAGAGCAATTAGTGGTTAGTCGGCTCTGAAACTACTAATGTCAAGAAGCCATTAAAAATGTGTTTTTAGTGAACCAAGGAAAGCAATTCTAGGAAATGAGATGGTGTGTTTTAGCCAGTTTGAGCAAGCCATGATAATTCATATACCTCACATTTACAAATAATAAGCCTCCAGACAAGTCTGTGAACTGGACAAGGTAGGAATCATAATCTCATTCTACAGATAATAAAATCGAGATTCAGAGAATCTGACTGACTTCTCAGTGTCATCTGAAAGTTAATTGGCAGAAGTAGAACTTGAGCCAGTTTGGCACCTATTGTTCGATATAATTTCAGTATTTATTCTGAAACCTGTGTGTGTTCAAGTCAGTTCAAGGGAAAGATAGGAAGATTCATGGATAAACAAACATAATACAATGTGCTGTATATCACAACATAAGTAAGTATTGAGTGACATCAAAGTATAAAGGAAGGGCATCTGACATAATGGGAAAGGTTCAAGGTCTAGAGATCTTAATGGGACTGAAAAATGGATTTGAAGATGAGGAAGTTATTGTGTAAATGATAAAATTTTCCATTTTTAACCTTATTTCAAAAGTAATATTTCCCTAAAATAAAAAACCTCCAAGTGTGGCCAAAGCAGATATTCAGAACACAAATAATTTAAACTATCAAGAAAAAAGTTTGTTAGCAGTTGAGAGGCGGTTCAGGTGCCAGACCCTGGGTTCACACTCCAGTAATGTCAAAAGAAAAACAAAAACCCTCTTTGGTATACACCCTCTTTTATTACTGTTAGCCCAGAAACCTCCTCACTCATAAGCTTAACATGCTCTTTCCCTAGGCAACACTAGGCCCGTGTAGTAAAGGCAGCAAATGATTAGCCCCTACCCTCTTTCCCTGAGAGATCACTGGTTTGGGATAGCTATGACCATATAAGGCAGGGTGATCCCCCAAATCCCGGAGGTTATAAAAGGTCACCTGAGACAATAGCAGGCACTTCTCCCTTCCCCTCACCTGTGAGAAGGGGTCTTGCTGATCCTTTTACTGGCAATAAACCTTTATATCTGCTTGGTTTTCTGGCAGAGTCTAATTTACTCTAACAATTACAGTGGAACATTTCAATTTAAGGTTTTCAGAATGGACTAGTTCCAAACTATGGTCATAGAAATTGTTAGCTGAAAACAAATGGAAGTCAAGTAGTTGTCATTGAAGAGGTCAGGAAACTATGAGACTAAGTTGTTACTTGGGCTGATCATCTACTTGGTAAGCAAGCCTGCCTGCCTGCTTGCTTGCTTGCTTGCTTGCTTGCTTCCTTTCTTCTTTCCTCTTTTCCTTCCTTCCTTCCTTCCTTCCTTTCTTTCCTTCCTTTTCTCCTTAGGCAAGCCTTCCTTCCTGCCTTTCCTCCCTCCTCTCCCATGTAGTGAAATATGCCTCATATTTCAGCCACTTAGAAGGTAGAGGCAGGAAGATCATCAGTTCAAGGCCAACTCAGGCAAAGGTAGTCAGATGCTATCTCAAAAATGAAATTTAAAGCCTGATGCCAGTGGCTCACACGTGTAATCCTAGCTACTCAGGAGGTTGAGATCTGAAAATTACAGTTCAAAACCAGTCTGGGTAGAAAAGTCCCCATGAAACTTATCTCCAATTAAGCTCTCAAAAACTCAAAGTAGCGGTGTGATTCAAAGTGGTAGAGTGCTAGCCTTGAGCAAAAGAGCTCATGGACAGCACCCACGCCCTGAGTATCAAGCCCTATGACCACAAAAATAAATAAATAATAAAAACACAAAGAGGGAAAAAAGAAAATAAATAACCACTCTTCCTTCTCTTTCCTTTCATGCTGGCAATCAAATCCATGGCCTTGTGTATGCTAGACTGGCACTCTAGCTCTAAGAAATTACTCCAGTTCCTTTAGTCATCTACTTGGATATAAACATCAGACTTGTAGAGGGAAACTGATCTTGGTTTGTGACCTGGAGTTAGTGTTGTAAATGAGAAGTGGAAGAATAGTGTAATCATCAAAACATCTCTTCTGTTACCTCTCATTGTCTCTAATATATATATATTTTGGGTCTGGTCATGGGGCCTGAACTCTGGGCCTGGGCGCTGTCCCTCAGCTCTTCAACTCAAGGCTAGCGCTCTACCACTTGAGCCACAGCACTACTTCGGTTTTTTTCTTTTTTGCTTATGTGGTGCTGAGGAATCGAACCCAGGCCTCATACATGCAAGGCAAGCGCTCTACCACTGAGCCACCTTCCCAGCCCCTCTAATATTATGTAACTATTCAAACAATAGTGGCCAGTTCCAGGTATTGTACCCAGGATCTTGCACACCCTAGGCAAATGTTCCATTACTTGAGCCATGCCTCTCCCAGCCCTTTTTGCTTTTTGGTCTGAGACCAGGACTTGACTTGGTACCTGATGCTCTTGCTTATTGGCTAGTGTTCCACCAACTGAGCCATTCCTCTAACCTCAAGGGTTGGTTATTTCTTTTCTTTTTTTCCCTTTTTGTTTTTAAATTTTATTTTTGAGACAGTATCTGACTACCTTTTCCTGGGTTTGCCCTTGAACTGGTGATCTTGCTGCCTCTGCCTCCTAAGTAGCTGGAATTTCAGGCATGTTTCACTACACCTGGCCTTTAAAAGATATATGCATGGGCTGGGAAGGAGGCTCAGTGGTAGAGCACTTGCCTTGCATGCTCAAGGCCCTGGGTTCGATTCCTTAGCACCACATAAGCAAAAAGAAAAAAGCCGGAAGTGGCTCTGTGGCTCAAGCGGTAGAGCGCTAGCCTTGAGCTGAAGAGCTGAGGGACAGCGCCCAGGCCCTGAGTTCAGGCCCCACGACCGGACCCCCCCCCAAAAAAGATATATGCATATATATATATATATATACACACACACACACACAATTGCATGTATGCATGCACATACATGCTTGTGCCTATACCAGGATTTGAACTCAGGGTCTCAGGCTCTCATTTAGCTTTTTTGCTCATTGTTGGCACTCTGCCACTTGAACCACACTTCCAGTCAGGATTTTTGCTGGTAATTAGAGATAGAGTCTTGTAGACTTTTCTGTCCTGCCTGGCTTTGAACCTCAACTATCATGTTTCAGCTTCCTGTGTAATTAGCATTTACGCGTATGAGCCACCACTGCCTAGCTGAAAGATACTTGAATAAAGAGAGTGAGAGAGGAAAAAGGAGAGATTGCAGCAAAATATATATATATATATATACACACCATTTAGCAGAAGGGTCAAGCAGCAAGATTCATAGCAAAATTATTTTAATGGAGACATCTATAAAAAAATAGCTATAGTAAATGATTCACTTACTTGAGTATGTAAGAAAATCAGTTTGAGTTGAAACCCCTTTGTCCAAGTCTTGAGAATGATTTTTTTTTTCAGTCCTGGGGCTTGAACTCAGGGTCTGGGCATTGTTCCTGAGCTTCTTTTGCTCAAGGCTAGCACTCTACCACTTGAGCCACAGAACCATTTCCAACTTTTTCTGTTTATGTGATACTAAGGAATTGAACCCAGGGCTTCATGTATTCTAGACAAGCACTCTACCACTGAGCCACATTCCCAGCCCCAAGAATGATTTTTAAAAAAAACTTTTTTTGGTCAGTCATGAGGCTTAAACTCTGGGCCTGGGTGCTGTCCCTCAGCTCTTCAGCTCAAGGCAAGCACTCTACCTCTTGAGCCACAGTGCCACTTCTGGTTTTCTGGTGGTTAATTGGAGATAAGAGTCTCATGGGCTTTCCTTCCCCGGGCTGCTTTTAACTATGATCCTCAGATGTCAGCCTCCGGATTATAAGTGTGAGCCACTGGCGCCTGGCTTGAGAATGATTTTTTTTTAGACACTAGGGCCAAGGGAGGATAAGGAAAATCTCATTTAGGAAAGAGATGCTGGCTTTTTGTTTTTTTTTTTTTGGGTCCGGTCATGGGGCTTGAACTCTGGGCCTGGGTGCTGTCCCTCAGCTCTTCAGCTCAAGGCTAGCGCTCTACCACTTGAGCCACAGTGACACTTTTGGCTTTTTTCTTTTTGCTTATGTTGTGCTGAGGAATGGAACCCAGGGCCTCATGCATGCAAGGCAAGCACTCTACCACTGAGCCACCTTCCCAGCCCTGACTTTTTGTCTATGTTCAGTGTTTGAGTCTTATATCTAAGGATTCATTAATCTATGTAACATGTCCCACCAAAAAAAATCTGATTTTACAAGCTCTTCTTAACAATCTTATCCAGTCTTAAGTGATAAAATGAATGTAGATATTCATATACACAAGCATCCATATGAATAAACCTCTCTGTCTTTTTGTTTACCTATCTATTAATCTCTAGGAGGGAGAAGAGAAAGGGAAAGATTGAAACTCTCCTCTGGCATAGGGTCCATGACTGCATCAGTTCATGTTTGTAAATAAACTTCTAGCATCTACTCACACTTATTTTTTTAGGATGAAGGTAAAACCACACAATTAAATGATGACTTCTGTTGTCTAGGTTTGCTAGCATCAATTTTCTCCCCATAAAAACAGGTTAGTAAGTTAACTGCTTCTGTAGGTGTGCCAGGCTGAGGTATTGGGTTTCTATCACAGAACTAAAAAGTACTCTCCCTCTCTCTTCTTTGAGTAAAAGGGACTTTTGCTTTGTATTACCTGTTCTCTGCTAATCTGACAGGTTATATGATCCTAGGTCTGAGGTGCCAATCCTTTTTTTATGTTCCTTTAGATATCTAAATTGTGGGGAAGGTGGCTCAGTAGTAGAGTGCTTGCCTTGCATGCATGAGGCCCTGGGTTCGATTCCTCAGCACCACATAAGCAAAAAGAAAAAAAAGCCAGAAGTGGTGCTGTGGCTCAAGTGGTAGAGCACTAGCCTTGAGCTGAAGAGCTGAGGGACAGCGCTCAGGCCGAGTTCAGGCCCCACGACCGGACCCCCCCCAAAAAAAAAAAGATATCTAAATTGTAAAACTTTATACATTGGCATATGAATGATTTGGCTTTCTCTCCTAAAGAATTATGAATCTTCTAGTTTACAGATTGTCTTATTTATCTCTGTAGGTCTAGATATACATAACAAACTACAGTAGTATTTTATGAGTGAATAAATGCATATATTGAGTAGTCATACACAAACATCACCAGTCTCCATAAAGAATGATTGCTGGGCATGGTAGTACATACTTGTTATCCCAACTACTTTGATAGAAGTAAGAGGATCTTGAGTTTGAGTCCAGCAAGACTCTTTTTTCTTTTCTCCCCTCCCCCCACGAACTCCCCCCTCCCCCCGCTGGAAGATTTTGAGTTTTATAGCAATCTGTATTGTATAGAACCGGGGGCCCAGCCTGGCTTGGTCCCTCACCTGCCCCTCGCTGGGCAAGACTCTATTTTAAGTGGTAGAACACTTGCCTAGCATGTACATAGCCCTAGATTTAATCCCCAGTACCAACAAGAGAAAAAAAAGATAGACTATATATATTGGTCTGCTCTCCAATTAGCTAGTGATAGGAACAGAGATGAATGTTATTGGAGGGGCAGCACACATGGTGGAATGTTAACTTTGAAGTTAGATATGGGTTTGATTCCCAGTGCTGGCACTTAACTAGCTGTATGAGATGGGACAAATTGACTAGCTCTGTGTGTGTTACGCAGGTGACACAGGTGTTCAGTAAATGAGATTTGTCATTGTTATTAGTATAGCTCCTCTTTCAGAGCTGCTCAATGAACCTATTTTGTTGCTTTACTGTTATGTATAATTAGAGCTCCTGATGATATACCCTGTAATCACCAAGGTTACAGAGATTTGAAACTATTCCAAGAAGTTGTTTGGAAAGTGTCAAGTACAGAAAATGCCTTTAGAATACCAGAGCTCTTTTCTACTGTTTAAACATTTTATACTAAAAAAAAAAAAATTGAAGAAGAAGCTGAGTGCTGATGGTGAGTGCCTGTAATTCTAGCTATTTCTGAAGCTAAGAATGGGAGGATCATGGTTCCAGGCAGACTGGACAGAAAACTCCATGAGCCTCCATTTCAACAGAGGGAGATAAATGTGCGCCTGTCATCTCAGCTATAGCAGGAAATATAAACTAGGAGGATCTTGGCTTAGGCACACACTCAGGCAGGAAGCAAGAAAGTATGACACACTCATCAAGATATATTGTACCACAGATTGATGTGTTAAATTGAAACCCCTTTGTACAGCTCTTTGAAGTGATAGCTGTTTCAATTCCCCTTTTGTATTCTTTTCTCATTCTCAAAGATGTTTCTCCTTGGATATCTTTTTTTTTGGTGCCAGTACTGGGGCTTGAACTCAAGGCCTGGGTGCTGTACCTTGGCTTTTTTACTCAAGGCTGGTGCTCTACCACTTGAGCCACAGCTTCTTGGTGGTTAACTGGAATGAGTCTCACACATTTTCCTGCTTGCCTGGCTTCAAACTGTGATCCTCAGATTTCAGCCTCGTGAGTAATTAGGATTACCCAACTTCCTTAGAGGTCTTTCAAAGCATTTTAAAGAACAGGTACTTTTAGCTGGGCACCGGTGGCTCACGCCTATAATCCTAGCTACTCAAGAGGCTGAGATCTGAGAATCGTGGTTCAAAACCAGCCCGGGGAAGGAAAGACCGTGAGACTCCTATCTCCAATAAACCACCAGAAAACCGGAAGTGGCGCTGTAGCTCAAGTGGTAGAGCACTGCCGTGAGCTGAAGAGCTGAGGGACAGTGCCCAGGCCCAGAGTTCAAGCCCCATGACTGACAAAAAACAAACAAACAAAAAAAAAGAATAGGTACTTTTATAGGAACGAATATCTGTTTGATTCATTTGTGATTTGGGGTTTGCATACATCTGGTAGGTGTTTTTGCTGTGTTGTTACAGGTGGTTGAAAAGTCCAGAACTTTGATGAGAGATTGTCTAGTTATAAAGCACTTTTTACGTAAAATCATTATGGTACACCACCAGGTAAGTTGCTCTTTCTCTTTCTCTTTTCCTCTTTTTTTTTTTTTTGATAGTCTATAGTTTAGCCTGACATAATTTAAGTTTAACATTTGAAGATTAAATACTATCACTTAAGTTGCTCTTTTGTATATCAGTGCTTCTCTTGTGAGCAGGTGCCTCACACCTGTAATCATAGCTACTCAGGAGGCTGAGATCTGAGGATCACAGTTCAAAGCCAGCCTGAGCAGGATAGTCCATGAGACTCTTATCTCCAATTAGCTACCAGAAAACCAGAAGTGACACTGTGGCTCAAGTGGTAGAGCGCTTACCTTGAGCTGAAGAGCTGAGGGACAGCGCCCAGGCCCAGAGCTTAATTACCATGACCAACTACATAAGTTAATTAATTAATAAATTAAAAATATGCTTTTCCTCCAGATTCATCCATATTGTTGTAAACAATAGATTTTTAAGGCTGTACAGTATCCTATTGTGTATAAATTTAATTTTCTTCATCCATTCTTGAGCCAGGCACAGAAAGATAAATACTCATGATCTCACCTATGTGTGAATCTAAAAAGGTTTAACTTAAAGTAGAGAATTAAATGGTTTCCAGAACTGTTGGATGATGGGGAAAGAAGGAATAGACTCATAGGGTAGAATTAATTGAGAAAGGAATAGTATGTTGGAGATCTATTGCTGTTCTGCAACAACCTAATCCTAGTGTATGAGAGTGGGCTCCAAGGTGTTAGAAAATGAAGGAGAAGCTGACAGATCTAAGACTATACAGAGTGCAACTTATGGGGGATTTGCCAGTTAAAATAATATTAATTTAAAAGTAAAGAGTATCTTTTTCTTCAGGGGGTAGATATGTAATCTAATGGCTTAGGTAAAATCTTACACTTCACTAATTGTTTTGCAGATCAGGTTTAATTTCATTGTAAAGGTAAACGGGGTTGTCTCCACAGAGATCTTTGGGTAAGTCTGTAAACCCATGACTTCAGATGAGGCTGTGGCTCTGCAGTGTTTCTCGGGCATGATTTCCTATTTCCAGTTGTCTCACAGTTTGACTTTTTGTTTTGTTTTGTTTTTGTCAGTCACAGGACTTGAATTCTGGGTATAGGCACTGTCCCTGAGCCCTTCAGCTCAAGGCTAGTGCTCTACCACTTAAGCCACAGTGCCATTTCTAGTTGGTGGTTAATTGGAGATAATAGTCTCACGGACTTTCCTGCCCAGGTTGGCTTTGAACCATGATCCTCAGATCTCAGCCTCCTGAGTAGCTAGGATTACAAATGTGAGCCACCAGTGCTCGGCTTCAGTTTGACTTCTTGACTCAAAGTCACTGTAAAACTAATCTTATGGAGGCTGGGAAGGTGGCTCAGTGGTAGAGTGCTTGCCTTGCATGCCTGAGGCCCTGGGTTCGATTCCTCAGCACCACATAAGCAAAAAAAGAAAAAAAAAGCTGGAAGTGGCACTGTGGCTCAAGTGGTAGAGCGCTAGCCTTGAGCTGAAGAGCTGAGGGACAGCGCCCAGGCCGAGTTCAGGCCCCACGATCGGACCAAAAAAAAAAAAACAAAAACAAAACTAATCTTATGAAATCCTCATATTTTCAAATTCTTTTTTTTTTTTTGTTTGGGTCCAGTCGTGGGGCCTGAACTCTGGGTCTGGGTGCTGTCCCTCAGCTCTTCAGCTCAAGGCTAGCACTCTACCACTTGAGCCACAGCGCCACTTCCAGCTTTTTTCTTTTTTCTTATGTGGTGCTGAGGAATCGAACCCAGGGCCTCAGTCATGCAAGGCAAGCGCTCTACCACTGAGCCACCTTCCCAGCCCCTCAAATTCTTTTAATGAGTGGATTCATCTAAACCTTTTCATGTCTTTCACTTTTATTAGAACTGGTAAAATTCAAAATAATGCCATTTTCCTTTTAGTTATTGGGTTACTGATTTATGGTAAGCTCCTTGGTGGTAGAAATCATAGGCCAAGTTTTGTATCAAGCAGACCTTGATGGGAGAGATGGCTTAGCTTTCTTTTGTTTTGCAGGCTGGAGAATGAACCAATTTTGAACCTGTGGAATGGAATTGCTCTTGTGGTAAACAGTCAGCATTATGTGAGGTGAAAGCAAAAGCATTGCTGTCCTTTTGATGTTGTGTTCTCCTGTTAAAAGTATGGGTAGCAGTTAGAATTGGTTTCCCTTGAATTTCTTTTCTTTTTTGAAACAGTCTCATTATGTTGCCTAGGCTAGTGTCAAAGTCCTGGCTTCAGCTTTCCAAGAAACAGGGGCTGTAATAGCTGGGGCTACAGATATGCTGTATCATGCCCAGATGTTTTTGTCATTTCTTTCTTTTGGGGGAAGAGTATTTCTTAGGGCATCACACTTGCTGGGAAACCATTCTACCACTTGCAATACATACCTCCAGATCTTTTTGCTTACTTGATTTGGGAATAGGTTTCCTGTTTTTTGTATGGGGCTGATCTCAGACTATGATCCTCCTGATTTCTGCCTTCTGCAGTAGTTAGACTTACAGACATGTGCCACCACACTCAGCCCTACCTTTACCATTTCTAAGAGATTTAAGCCTCTCTAAAAGAATAGTAGAAGTAAAGCTTTTACATCGTTTCTGTTGAAAATTTATTACTTCTGGTTCCCTGAATATTGTAATTGACCTGAGAATGTCCCTAATCTTTTTTTCCAGGCTTTATGTTCTTCAATGAATAAAATGAAACAAACTCCAAAAATTCTAATTCCATTTAAACATGAGAGGACTTGACTTTGTGGATAGGGAGATATTATGATTACAAAGGAATTTGTTGTATATTGTCTTTCATGTATCAGCCTTCTGCATTGGTTTGAAACTTATCCCTTTCCTCACTTCCACTTCCTTAATATTCTAAAAACAATATTCTAAGTCCATGGAGGAAATGATAAATTATCTAAGCAGATGGAGTTTCTGCCTTCTTTTTCCATCTAGCTACTATATCCAACTTCACTTTTGCATCCAGGAAAGGTGTACTGTATCCTAAAGTCCAACTAATTGTTTGTTTTCTTTATCTTTTTTCCCTGAGACCAAGACTAGAACTCAGGATCTGATGCTTTGGCTCACTGGCTGGCACTCTACTATCTTGAGCTATGTCTCCAACTCCTCTTGGTTTCCTTGAAGTGTTGGGTATTGAGCTGAGGGCTTGGGCATGCTAAACAAATGCTCTATCACATCCCTCAGCCCACTCTTTTTACTCTTGAGACTACCTCTTCCCTTGGCAAAGTTCTTTATTCATTAGTAAATGGTAACAAAATCCTAACCCACATCTTTCTTTCAAAATCCTGTAGTATGGACATAGTACTATATGCCTATAATCCTAGCACTCAGGAGGCTTAGGCAGGAGGATTTAGAGCTCAAGGTCAACCGAGTTATCTAGGGAAAATTCAGTTCAAAACAAAATATTTGAAAGTGGCTCTGTGGCTCAATGTGGTAAAATGCTAGCTTTGAGCAAAAGAGCTCAGGATAGCACCCAGGCAGCGTTCAAGCCCCAGGATGGACCAAAACAAACAAACAAACACACACACACACACACATACACAGAACAACAACAACAACAAAAAATCATGTAGTGTAATCCAGTCTTTACAGGTAAACAGCTCACTACCACAGCTTTACTGACAAGAATTTAAGGTAATCTATTTAGTTTTTTTTCTTTCCTTCCTTCCTTGTTGGTCATGGGGCCTGAACTCTGGGCCTGGGTACTGTCCCTCAGCTCTTCAGCTCCAGACTAGTGTTCTACCACTTGAGCTATAGTGCCACTTCCTGATTTTTCTGATTATGTGGTGCTGAGGAATAGAACCCAGGGCCTCATGAATGCAAGACAAGAACTCTACCACTGAGCCATCTTTCCAGCCCCTCTAGATTCTTTCTTGGGGGGAATGTTTCTTTTTAGTGCTCTCATCAAACAATAACCTCAGAGCCATGTAAAAGAAGGCAAGTGAGAGCAGAGTTTTAAGGACCAGGGGGTCAGTTAGGTCATTTGTGACTCATAACTCCCATTACAGAATGCTGATCTTTGAATGATCTTAGAAACTTCTGAACCTTAAAGTAGTTTAGTAGAGGAAAATCACTTTTAGGAATGAGAAAACACCATTAGAGATAGCAAAAGCTAGAGCTATGAAATACCAGTTTTCCTCTCTGTCCATTGCTGTGATTCTCTAAGTGAAATACAAGTTAGTTAAGCCAGAGAAACAACTATAGTGGCTTATGTGGTTATGTATATGTTTGAGTAGTTACAAGAAAAAAATTAACACTCTTATTAAGTAATTTCTTAAGAGGGGAAATTGTTAAATTGTTTTTTTTTAACAAGACAAAAATGTGGAACAACTGAACCCCACTGCAGCAGAATCCACCCTGTGCTAGGACATCCAGTGACACTGTTCATCCCTGACGGGGTGGTTGGTGTGGACATGGGAGAACTGATACTGACTCCAGCTGCTGCTCTGTGCCCCAGTCCAAAGGTCTTTTCCAGTCAGTTGAACAGGATTTCTTCAGTTTCCATATCCTTCTGATGACAAGTTTCATCCAGTTTAGGAAAGCTTTACATATGAATTCTTTATCTAGAAGAATGTATTAATTGTATGAATGTACATAGTCCAATGTGAAAGCTAAATTTCATAAAATTCATACATTTATGAGGGAGCTAAAAATTATAAAATGTGATACATATCTCACATGTTGTTCATATAAATCAGTATGGCCAAAAGAATGGAATGGATCGTGCAAGGAGAGATGTACTTGGGAGGCATTGGCAAAATTGAAGGCCAGTCTGAAATATACAGCATGATTTTGTTCTTGTTAGTCGTGGGGCCTGAACTTGGCCTGGGTGCTATCCCTCAGCTCTTTAGCTCAAGGCTAGTGCTCTACCATTTGAGCCTCAGTGCCACTTCTGGGTTTTTCTGCTTTTGTGGTGCTGGGGAATTGAACCCAGGGCTTCAGGCATGCAAGGCAAGCACTCTACCACTGAGGCACTTTCCCTCCTGACTTTTTTTTTAAGTAGTTGAAGATGAATATAGTGAGAGCCATACTCAAGGGTACAGTCTTTGTTCTCTGTATAACAAGAAGCCACTGGCTGCTTTAGCAGGAATATCTTGCACTATTATACAGATGGATAAGAGAGAAAAGTTAGTAATTACTATGTAAAAAGTAAATGAGCCAATCATCAGTGGTTTACATCTGTAATCTTAATTACTCAGGAGGTTGAGTTCTGAGGGTCAGAGTTTGAAGCCAGCCATTGCAAGAAATTCCTTAAAAGTCTATCTTCATGTGGCTACCAAAAAAGGCTGGAAGGTGGAGCACTAGCCTTGAGCAAAAAGGCTCAGGGACAGTGCCCAGACTCTGAGTTAAAGACCCAGGACTGGAACACATACACATGCAAAAGTAAATGAACTGGGTTAAAAACTAGAAAAGTGCCTGAATTAAAGGTGAGGTAGGGGAAGGTGGCTCAGTGGTAGAGCGCTTGCCTTGCATGCCTGAGGCCCTGGGTTCGATTCCTCAGCACCGCATAAGCAGAAAAAGCCAGAAGTGGCGCTGTGGCTCAAGCAACAGAGTGCTAGGCTTGAGCTGAAGAGCACAGGGACAGTGCCCAGGCCCAGAGTTCAAGCCCCACAACTGACAAAAAAAAAAAAAGTGAGGTAGGAGCCAGTAATTGGAGGCTCACGCCTGTAATCCTAGTTACTCAGGAGGCTAAGATCCGAGGATCAAGGTTCAAAGCCAGCCCAGGCAGAAAAGACTGTGAGACTCTTCTTTTTTTGGGGGGGGGGGTTGGGTCCAGTCGTGGGGCCTGAACTCAGGGCTTGGGCGCTGTCTCTCAGCTCTTCAGCTCAAGGCTAGCACTCTACCACTTGAGCCACAGCGCCACTTCCGGCTTTTTTCTTTTTGCTTATGTGGTACTGAGGAACCGAACCCAGGGCCTCATGCATGCAAGGCAAGCACTCTACCACTGAGCCACCTTCCCAGCCCCTGACTGTGAGACTCTTATCTCCAATAAACCACCTGAAAACTGGAAGTGGTGTGTGCTGTGGCTCAAGAGGTAGAGTGCTAGCCTTGAGCTGACGATCTGAGGGACAACACCCAGGTTCAGAGTTCAAGCCCCACGATCGACAAAAAAAAAAAAAAAAGGAGTGGATTCTAATGGTGTAAGTCCTTTGAACAATTAATTGACAGTTTAACAGAATGAATACCAGAATGCTGAAATATATCTTTCATTTTTTGTGTATAGGTACTGGTACTGGGGCTTGAGCTCTGAGCCTCTCTCTCTGGGTTCATATCTGACACTGCCTTTTAAGCCATGCCTCAACTTTCTGCTTTTTGATGATTAATTAGAAATAAGAGTCTCATGGATTTGTCTGCCTGAGCTGACTTCAAACCTTAATCCTTAGATCTCAGCCTCCTGAGTGGCTAGGCTTATAGTCATGAATCACTGGTGCCTGGCATAAGTCACTGTTTATTTTATACAAGTGAATACACAGTCATAAGAAGCTAAAATTTTGGCAGTTTTCTTTAGCAACAATACATATTCCTATATGGACCTTCAGGTCTGCCTCTGATATTGCCAAATCGAGAGCAGCTAAGCATCGCTGTCTTCAAAGACACCTCTTACTTCATTGACTGGAAGAAATACCAGTTATACATGGTGCCCAGTGTGGATCTCAATTTGGACACAGGTATATCGCTCTTTTTTTTCTTTTTGGTAAGAGATGAAGAAACCTGATGAGTATTATTAAAATGAAGGACTTATAACCACAGGTGCAAGTTTAAATAGGTAGGACCCAGTGATTTTATGGCTTGGTTGGGGCTTGGGATTAGGGATCCGTCCAAGCTCAAGAGGCCACTGAAATTAGATAAATGTACAATACAAGAAAAACCCAGGGGCTGGGCAGGTGGCTCAGTAGTAGAACGCTTGCCTTGCATGCATAAGGCCCTGGGTTCGATTCCTCAGCACCACATAAGCAAAAAGAAAAAAGCCGGAAGTGATGCTGTGGCTCAAGTGGTAGAGTGCTAGCCTTGAGCTGAAGAGCTGAGGGACAGTGTCCAGGCCCAGAGTTCAGGCCCCACAACTGGACCCACCCCCCGCAAAAAAAAGAAAAAACCAATCAGAGCCTAGCAGTTTGGGCTTTGCAGCTTGCTACTGTTTCTCCCCTGAACAACTGAGGAAGAAAAATGCTTCTAAATGAGAGGAGGAAGCATACATAAAATTACTTGGAAAAGATGAAATCATATAAATGCCACATAAAATTCATGTAGGGCCTAACAACATCTTTTTAAAAGTCAGATGGCTACTGATGGAACTCAGATAAAACTGGGAGCTAGGACTATGCAACTATGGCTGGTATCTACAAATCTTACAGTTCTGAGCATGACTGTTGATAGCTAAATCCAGAGGAATTTGGGCCCAGTCATTTGGGACTAAGGAAGATGAGCAGAAGGGAATAGGTGTTCTAGGATTGTGACTGGTATGAGAGGGTTGAAACTTTCTGGGATACAGCAGTATCTCCAGAGAATGACAGAATTTTCACCTAGGAAGTCTGCCTCCAGAGACCAGTTCTTTTTTCTTGAGTACATAGTTATTCCAAAGGATGGGAGGAGAGGAGGTAGCCTCAGATAGTGTCTCTGCATGTAAGTAGTTTTGCAAGGAAACAATATTTGATCTTAATGCCATGCCATTGAAATCTTGAATAGAAGAATGACCCAAGTGAGTTTCTAAGTGTCTTTGTATCTGTTTTGTTCATTTTTATATTCAAGACTATTGGTTTCCTCTATTTTTCTCCCAATTTACAATGTCTAAACTTGCTGAGCTGACTTTGGAAGTAAATAATGTAGAACATGTTTCCTCATGTCCCTTCTTCTCTATGGGGCAGAACAAGAATCAACATAGAGGAATCCGGTACTTCGCTGTATGGACTGCCCAGACAGTTTCTAAAGGGCCAGTCTGATAGAAAGTCACCATAACTGTTATTCAAAAATATATATCATACAATTTTGGAACTAAGAGCACATCTGGAGTCAGTCTGGCAAAGTCTGTATCTCAGTTTTACGACTTATTCATATTGGGCAAATTATTTAGCCTGTGTATACCTCTTTTCTTATCTGTAAAAAGGTCATAAAGATAGGTGTACCCAGGAATGTAGTGAAATCTAAACAGTAAAATAATAGAATTTGCAAATAATTTAATGGGATACCTGACATATTGTACAAGTTGCCTTTTTTTTTTTTTGGTCGTGGGGTTTGAACTCTGGGCCTGGGCACTGTCCCTGAGCTCTTCAGCTCAAGGCAAGTACTCTACCACTTGAGCCAACAGTGCCACTTCCAAGTTGCCTGTTATTATAAGTTAGCTGTTCACATCATTACTCCACTTAAATTTGATTTTTGCCTATTACTAGTTCTGCCTGATTTCAAAAGTTGTGCAGGAAATATATATATGTAGTATTTCCCAGTAAGTGCAAAGGAGGGCCTTTTGGTTTATTATCATTTTTTATGTTCTTCATGTGTGTTACTATTATTTGTTTCCATCATGTGTATAGAGAAGCAAATTCGGGAGTAGAACAGGATGTTTTGATTTATTTGTTTGTTCCTGTCAGTTTTGGGGCTTGAACCCTGGATCTGGGCACTGTCCCTGAGCTCTTTTGCTCATCAAGGCTAGCACTCTACCACTTTGAGCCACAGCCCCACTTCTGGTTTTCTGGTGGTTAATTGGAGGTAAGAGTTTCACAGACTTTCCTGCCTGGGCTGGCTTTGAACCACAATCCTTACATCTCAGCCTCCTGAGTAGGTGTCAGCCATCAGCACCAAAATTATTTTTGTTTTCTTAAGACAATGCATCATTGTATATCCTAGGTTGGTCTCCAGTTCTCAGTACTTTTGCTCCACGACTCCCCAGTACTGGGGCTACAAGTGTATTACCATACCCAGCTGAATGTTTCCATTTAGAGTATGGTTTTCCTACGCTGAGATCCCTCTGCTCAGAAAATATGTTGTATAGTCACCATACCTTAGAAATTTGTGTTACCTCTTGTTCTCTAGATTTGGTACTTCCAGATGTGCGTTATCAGGTTGAGTCCAGTGTGAGGAATCAGTCTCAGAAGGCAGACCCTCAGGGACCAACTCTTCTGCTTTTCCTCTTTGTGGATTTCTACAGTGGATTAACAGTCCAGCAAAAGGAAATCTGGGGTAGGTATGAGTGGGGCATCTGTTTGGGTATGCCAGATACTAAAAGAACAAAGAAAGGGCAATGTGTTTATGTCAAGAAAGGTTTTCCAGTGAAATACCTTACTTAACAAATTAAGCAAATTGTATGCCATATGGAATAGATCTGTATGTTGATGCTTTACTTAAATGATAGCATTCCCAGATTTTGACAGCCAGAACCCAGTGGACACTCCCAGAGTGCTTCCCAGGGAGTATATGTATTACCTTAGATCAGTGGCTTTCAACCTTAGTTGCACAGTAAATTACCTAGGGAACTTTTTTAAAATGTCCAAACCTACCTGGGCACCAGTGGCTCATGCCTATAATTCTAGCTACTTGGGAGACTGAGAGAATTATGTTTTGAGGCCAGTCCAGGAAGGAAAGTCTGCAAGACTCCCTTCTCAATGCAGGGAAGCTGCAACTATAGGAAGCCTAAAGTAGTCAGATTGGGGTCCAGGCACACACCTGGGCAGGAAGTGAGACTATGTTAAAAATGGCCAGCAGAAAAAGGGAGGGAGAGAATGATGGAAGGGATGGCATTGATCAAGAAGCATTGAACTTCTAATCTGACTTAGAGAATTATAACCTCTTTGTACAACTACTTAATAACAAAATAAAAATAAAAATTCTCAAAAAAATCAGCAGAAAACAGGGCTAGAAACATGGCTCAGTGGTAGAGCACTTGCCTATCAAGTTCCAGCTTTTCAGCTCAAGGCTAGTGCTCTATCTCTTGAGCCACTGCTCCACTTCCAGTTTTCTAGTGTTTTATTGGAGATAAGAGTCTCATGGATTTTCTTGCCTGGGTTGGCTGTGAACTGTGATCTTCAGATCTCAACCTCCTGAATAGCTAGGATTACAGGCGTGAACCACCGGTACCCAGCTGTAAATTTTTAAACCCCAGTACCACACCCACACCCCCACACACATGGCCCAAACCTGATTTCCCTGGACTGAAATGGGGTTTGGGTCTCTATAGGTTATTTTTTGTTGTTATTGTTGTGTGTGTGTGTGTGTGTGTGTGTGTGTTAGGAGTTAAAACCCAGGGCCTTGTGCATTGCTAAGCATGAACTCTGCTATTGAGCTACAACCTCTGGCAGTATGTAAAGATTTTGAGATGATTCTAATGTGCAGCTAGGCTTGAGAACTTTTCATTACCCTGCCACCCTTATAGGTGGGAGCAAGAAAAGTAGCCTGAGCCCGGGCTGGTGGGCAGGAAAGTCTGTGAGACTCTTATCTCCAATAAACCACTAGAAAACGGGAAGTGGCGCTGTGGCTCAAGCTGGCCTTGAGCTGAAGAGCTGAGGGATAGCGCCCAAGCCCAGAGTTCAAGCCCACCACCGACCCAAACAAAAAAAGTATGGCTGCCGGGCGCCGATGGCTCTCGCCTGTAATCTTAGCTACTCAGGAGGCTGAGATCTGA